CTGATGCCCTCGGAGGGGAAGGAAGTCGAGAATCGCGACGCAAGGCGAGGGGCGAAGTTGGAAGGTGTAATAGGTGACGGTAAAGAGGACCAAAGGGCGGGTTGGTCTTCTACCGGGGGTGCGTCGACTTTCCGTTTCTGACTAAAACCGAACCATCCAGCAGGCGTTGTGTGTGGTGTCTTGGAATCTGTCTTGCTCGCTGACCCAGCTACGTCACGTCGCAGTGAACCGTCCTGTTGGAATCCCTAAAATTCCTAATCCCACTGATGCTTCGAGTATCGGCGAGTTGGTTGGTATTCACCGGAGGAGAGGGAGGAAATAGGTGAATAATCAACGAGCAACCAAAGGACGTTGGAGGGAGCAGGTATTTGGAGAGGGAGGGAAGGAGGTCAAGAAGGAATGGGACAAGCGACAAAGTTACAGAAAGTGTGGATGACTAGATTGATATGTATGATGAGGCAGCGGAACAGGCGGGCAAAGCGGCAGGGTAAGGCAAAGTAGGTTAAGGTAAGGCAGAGACGGAATAGAGTGAGAACGGAGACAAGACAAGAGACAAGGTCCACGGTTCCAAGAGTTTTGCAGATGGAGGCCGAGCTTTGGGACAAAGTCGCTCTGGACCTTTGGACTCTTGGAAATCCATCTTTGAACGAAAAGTGTGTGGACTGACAAGTACCAAGGACACCCAAGACACAGCGGAAAGGTACCAAGACCGCCCAAGCCGGCCTACGGAAGCGGCGGGGACCGGGGTGCTTGTCAGAAGCCGAGAGATTTTTGGGTGCAGCGACTGCGAGGAAGGTGAGCCTTGGGGCTTGGGCAAGCAGAACCTGGTGGGTGTGGGTGGTCGTCGTTCTGTGGTGTGTGGAGTGTGGGCGACCTTAGTTTGCTCTCCGTCTCTTCTCGCATAGGACAATGAGGACCGGAGCGAGGTACCAGGGGGAGGAAGGGGAGGGAACGTACGAGTACCATAGGTACCCAGACTGCCTCGCGACAAGGTATACGGTACGCGGACTTTGTCTCTTGGGTGGGCTGGCCGACGGGTTTGTAAGGTACCTGATCGTGGCTACGGAGTACGGAGGACCTTTGACCACCTTTCCTTCCTTGTGGGCGCGAGTCTCCCGTCCCTACACAGCTGACCGAGACCAGGGGAGGGGGGAACTGTCGGGCGGTATCCGTATGTGGTCCGTTTTGGTGCGTGGGACGCTGGGACTGGGCAAAGTGAAAAGTCCGAATCGAAAGAAAATGGAGCTATGATGCTCTGCTGCAGTACCTATTGCTTCATCCAGGTCAACCCTGGAGTCCCTTAGCATGCCTTTCTTGGCAAACACCAGTCTGAGTACCGAGTACTCCCGTCATCCCGCCCGCCCTCTCTCCGTCTGTCCTTCGGCCACCGCCGACTGCGTCTTCCACTGCGTCTCTTACTGCAGGTATATTCGTGCTTGTATTGTTCTCCGTACCGTGGTACCAGCCCGACTGCGTCTAAATTTGCAGAATACCGCCCAGGTTTTGCTTCCTCCTTTCGCTTTGCCATATGAATACTCCATACGCGGGATTCAAAGAATGGGCGCGGCATGGCAAGGCAGATGCCAAGTGGACGATTCTCCGCTGTCTTTCCATCATCCTTCCCTCAGAAATGATAACCATGGTCTGGTTGGTCACAAGTGTTGCTGTCATGATTTGCTATCGAAAAGCTGGTAAGCTTCGGCGCCGTCTCTGCGAGGTCTCATGTCGATCTTTCCGGGGTGGATGAAAAGACGGTGCTTGTGCTTTGCTGTCTCTGTCTGCATCTGTGATGACTGACCGACTGACTGCTCGATGACTGACACACGCTGGGCAGGTGCCGTAGCAATGGAAGTACACGTACTTGCGTATTTTGCGTATTCACCCATGCCGGTACGGAGTAGTGGATTCCATTGTTGGTTGCCCATTGGGGGCCATCGCCAACCTGGGCGGTAGAGTGGGAAAATAGAATCACACGCAGCGCAGTGAGCGCACAAGACACAGAATCAGAGAGAGAAAATGAGAGAGGAAGCTCGGATGCTACGGCTCGGGTATAGGTACTCGTACCGATGTGGCGGGGCATCTGCGGTACATTGAGAGGAAGTCACCAATGGCTTCTAAGTTCTGCCCTTTTCTTTGGTGAAAACACTGGAAAATATGGAGCGAATAGGCGCACGGGCTTATCTTGCAAGAAACGAGTGCAGGGATTGGGCGATGCGCACCTCACCTCCCTGCAGTTGATCGGGCAGGAGGCTGCTCTGAACGGTACGTATCTTCAAGTACTCCTACCTTACTCCCGTCGTGCCCCGTTCCTTCCCAAGTCCGCTGGCGCTGCTTGTGACGCGGGCGGGAAGGAGCATCTCTGGCTTTGTGGGCGGGCGGGCTTGCCTTACGTGATGATGCGCTATTACCAGCCGGTAAGGAGAAGAATTCTGGGTGACACCGGGATGATCCAATTTTTTTGCTTCGATTTTTTCGTTAGTCTGCCTGTTTTTTTTTTTTTTCTCTCCGCCCTCGTCTTCGCATTCTCTTGTGGATTACAGATCAAAACTCCGAGGTCAGAAACACAGCAAAGGTCGTTCCCACGCATCCATCTACGGAACATCTCCGTGGTGGATCGGGAATTAGTGAGCTGATCTAGAAGCTGTGGTCTGTTCATGTTTTCTTCTATTTGCCTAGCGGCAATCTTATTCACGAAGGCTCTGCTGTGCTGATAAAATATTCCCATTGTTCGCGAAGACCTTATTGCTGACTATCTCAATAGGACAACGACAAGGAAATGGGTTCGTCTATTCAATCGCGGACGGCTTCATCTCGAGTCCATCCTGAGGCCCGCAAAGTCCACCCCCGGCCCCCGTCAAGGTCGGCGCGCGATAGACTGTGCGGTACCTAAATTACTCTCTCCCACTTGGCGGCGTTACCTGCACCCGAGCAAAAGTCGCAGAAAGACAAGACGTGTCGCGTGCTGATGATGACCCGGTCGACAGGGCTGATGATTCCCGGTACAGAGCACACTTGTCACTATGTACGAATTAACCCGTCCCAACAATCTTGTTTGACGGTTTGACCCGTCCTTCCCACCGCTCACCCCGGGGGACCGGGGCTTTTACCATCAGCCCAGCAAAACGTGTCACACATCCAGCAGGAAGAAGCAACGGAATGGCACTTTGACATTTACGTCAACGGTCTTCCTTGGTCTGGCCGCTGTCCAACCCTGAAAATAAAATCATCTCGGTGAAACAAACAAATGCTACTCACCCGATTTTGAGATTATCGTCATCATTGCATCGTCTTCAAGTACCGAGCCGAGGCCCCATTCGTCGCAGGCTCGCAGCGAGGTTTGCCATGCAGATTATCCGTACTATGTAGGCCAACCAAGAAACAGCGAGGCTGGGAATTCCCACATACGAAGTACGGAGCCGACGCCGGTACATCACAGTTCGGGAATTGCATGTCGACGACGTAAATCTCGGTTTCGGAGGCCCATCGGCGTGCGGTAGCTGCAACCGCCGACATTCAGGGCCGTTCTCGAATCGGCGCACCATCAAGGAATAATCGCGCGGCCGCACTCGTGAAATTCAGACTTCTCTGGCCCGCGCGGGTCATTGGGCCGAGACGACGGCGCCATCGAGGAGTCATGGGGAGGGGGGCTTGCGACTCTGGGTGAAAGCAACGGACGGTACAATCGGGCTGGCCGCTGGCCCGTCGATGCCGGCGTCGATGTGAATCAGATTGGGTGGCCTGACGAACGGCGTTAGAGAGCGTCACTGTCAAAATGGGGCTTGCAGTTGGTGGCTTGAATTGGCTTCGAACTTAACCAACACCACTATTCGACCCCTTCCCTGAAGGTCCCTTTTTTTCAAAATCCCATTGCCGGACGCGCTTATCTAATCCATCGGCCGCCGTCGCCGGCACCGAGGCTCAAAGACGGAACGCGAACGAAGGGTATTCTGCATTCCTTAGCTCTGTGGTTCCAACTTCCGCCCAAAGTCCACCGCCGCGAAAGGGGAGGGGGAGGGGAAACGAAAAAAGGGACCTCGACCCCTTAGACGCTAGGATGCCAGCATCATCGAGGCTTCATGATAATGGCATCACCCTTGATGTGCCTCATATAAGCGCCAAATGAATGTCATCTCAAGTTTTGCAAGTCGGGAGACGGGGGTTGTAGGACAAACAGAGAACAGGCCAGATCATGATGATGCAAGATGTCAATGGAACACCCACGCGAGGCGCCGCATCAAACAAGCGGCCTTACCTTCGCCTCTCCTTACCGCCGGTATCGTCTGGCACTACTGCGTAGCACATACGCAATCGCACGCGCAGGCAGGGATGGTAGCGATGCAGTCACGCAGAGCCACTGAACCAGAGCTCAGAGGGAGCCGACCAGGCCAAATGCGAAATGATTGGGGGTCGAGGTGACGACGACTCGTTCTCTCTTATTCTTAGCGCGCCCCGGGACTCCAGGCTCAAGCAAGCGTAGCCAAACGATGCCGGCGTAGCCTCGTCCGCCGCGAGGTTGAATGACCAGGGGAGGAAAAGGAACCAGCGAAACCGAGCGGAAAGCGAATGGAGCAAATCTGGGCAAGCTCGAGAATTTCCAGCCTCTGAAAAAGTCGGCCGAGTGAAAGGAAGCTGGAAATGAAAGACTGCAATGTGTGGTTGGGTGAGCATGGCAGCCATGGCTTTCCCGAGCACTGACCACTGGGGCAGGAGTACTCGGATCGCTCGGTGTCGAAGAGACAAAGTACCTCTTGAAAGTATCGGTACCTCCGTCCTGCCTCGGGCGAGCCTTGGGAAGGTACCTTACCTTGGTACCCATTTCTTCTTTGAGCTGTTGACTTCAGTTTTTTCCTTCCAATTTTCTGAGTCTTCCTTCCTATGCCCCCCACTTGGCGAACGACGTTCCTGGATGCTCAACCCCACTGTCGTCATGAATTTCTCCTTTGCTTTTCCCTCCCTCTGGTAAATTGCTTACGGAAGAAATCTCAAATTTCCCACATCGCTTAATCCCGGATTCCACTTGTTTCCCGCGCGACCGCTGTCCGCCCACCGACAAGGACGCCGCTGCCCGACGCCTCAGGAGCCTCAGTAGCCTCAGGAGGTCGGGGTCGGTCAAGTTCACTCTTCCGTTTCCCGCTTGCTGATCTCTCTCTACCGTAGAGACCCAGACCTGGCGATAATTTCTGTACGGATGTCATTTACGCGAGGTGCAGATACGCAGTACGCGGGTAATACAGCGGCAACACTACCACGTCCACCAATCCAGCTTGAGAGTTGAGACATATGGAAGACCTCTAACGGTCTGTGACACTCAGACTCCTGTCTCTGCCATAGAGTAGAGTACGGAGTAGTGTACAGTCCATTACAGTATGTTCCGGCCGACGTGCTCCGCACACGGACAGTCACGGCCGTCACTGCGATGGGACGATGCTCTACACATGGCTCGATCGGGACTCGAAGGGGGCAGACGCATTGCACAATGCAACCAAGAGGGTTTTCTCACCTTTGCCTACAGCGAAACGCTTCACGCTCGAGGTTCTGCGGCCATGACAGGCACGTCTGCAATTCTAGGCCACACCATGCAGCACAGGCATACCGAAACCTCCCGGTGGTAACCCCTTCATACCTCGTTAGAATCAGATTGCAACACACGCGAAGCCCAAAACCGACATCTCGTGATCTCGCATCCTTCTCGCATCACTCCTCGCAAGCCGCAAACCCGCCCCCAAAATATCATCTCTTGGCTGTGACTGGGCCTCCGGGGTGGTCTCCCCCTTCCTACCTGTGTGCAGGCAGCTGTGCATGCCGACCACTTTGCGCTTTGCCAATCGATGCGATTCCCCGCCCATACGCGGGAGACGCCGAAAGAGCGATGCCACCAGTCGCTACCCGTTCTATGCTGCAAGATGCAAAACTTGGGTGGTGGCTAGCCTCGACTTATTGCGGAGGATGCAAGATAAGCATGTGGGATATGGTTGTGATGGTGACAATCTCGGTGGTGCGTGCAACGTGCAATTCATCCGACTTTGCTCAAGCTAACAGGCTTGCTTACACAGCAAGTCAGACGACCGACGGACGAGTGCATACGCTGGCGGCGGCTGCTGCTATCGCGCGGTCGTTGATGATTGATCTGCGAGCAGCAGAGGCCAGACCGCGAACTTCGCGGACTTGGATGATCCCGAGCCCGACGTCTGTCTGTCCGCCACATGGATGTCATCCATCAAAACCCACCAGACTAGGCGCCCTTTCTTGGCATAGGTGACGGCTCACTGGTGATTGTGTATTGCAAGCTACAAAAGTCAGGGATCGTCTTTTGACACTTTCGCCGCGTGCGCCATAGTCGACTCTTAGTACTCTTAGTAGCCATTCACATAGCGCCAGCACTGAGACCTGACCAAGTTTGGCATCATGGATCACCCATACCTCTAAACGGCGACTAACTCAGAAAACTTGTGACGACCATCACATATCCATCGGGCACTACACTAATCAGAAGCCTGTCTTTGCACCGGCGTTCAGTACAAGTGCCTGTACTTGAAACCACTGCGATGTCCGTGTTCGCCGACCACGAATGAAGTCAATGACTGCAAGCTCTTGCGCCAGACCGGCGACTAGTGGCTAGGTGCTTTGGGTTCTGTAGCCGCTTCAACGTCTGCAGACGGCTTCTCGAGACTCAACGTCGTCAGTGTGTTTGATTTAACATCAATCCCTTCATAGCATTTTGTAGCACCTGCTGATAAACCAGGGCAGGTTTATACTTCCGCTGCGTGTTGAAGTCCCGTGGCCTGCAGGTCCTACCCGTCACCGTATCACCTTGTCTCACCGCTGAAGCGCTATAGCGTATTGTCTGTGTCAGTCCAGCTGAGGAGGGGAAGCACTGAAGTGTAGGGCACCACCGGCAGCATTCATCGTCATTAAGAGGCTCCAGCGCACTTGGCGGTCTTGGCAGTTTGATACTGTCTGTGCTACCTCCTCCGTACAATGCCGAACACGGCAGCCAGTCACGTTCCCGCGTACTCGCGTAACCCACAAACCACAGGCTGACAGTACCGACAAGGGGGCGAGCTCGGCGGAAGTGTTTGCAGCAGCTTCTGCCTCTCTCGACCACTCCAGTGTCGTGCGTCGCGTGCGCGAGCGTTACGTTAGGCCCCGCTGATGTGAGCCAAGGTACCAACGTCCACTCCTTCAACGAGCCCAAGAAAAGACAATCGGCGAGCAAGAGAATTCACCTGGATTTTTGGGGCCCTGGCAATAATCGAGATTGTGAGCCTGCAAAATCGAAATTCGATGGAACGACGGTGGCCCGGCCATCGGCGGACTTTTCCCACTCCTCCCGCCCCATTTCCACCTCGGAATCTTTGAGCGGGCCTCGTTGACGACGCTCCCCGAAATGAGCTCCCAAGGGATTCTTCCGTATTTTCCAATGGGGTTAATCGGACCCGCCAAACAGAATAATGGAGCTTAATCCAACTCCGGCGTCTGGGCAAGCCCTGTCTCACTCTTAGGTCAACAAAAGTGGGAGTGTGAGTTGACAAACTGAGAGAGAGAGACAGGCGCAACCGCCGGTGCGCACAACCTCCGAGCGATCCGGGTGCCAAGACCCGCCAGCACTCCGTGATACCGCAGCCGTTATGACTGCACTGATTGGCTCTGTTGATTATAGAGATTCATGAAGTCGCTCATGACCTGGAGGAGTCGGTGAGATTCGAAAACAAGCTTACAGCTTCACGAGTCACCATATCGGTCTAGCAGCGAATCCCCGCCTCCCTTGCTTGCTTGTATCACACACGTGCTGCAGCCTGTATTCGCTTTAGCAGTTGTCTGCTGTTGTCTCACATCATCCATGCGTCTCGCACGTGCCCTTCACGGGTGCTCGAGGAGCCAACCACATAAGTTTGTGATATTGAATTCTGACCTGCTCAGAGTTCACTGGCACCCAACATTCCGCTATGTCGAAGATAGCACGAATGCCAGAACCGCGACGTGGCCCTTGTGGCCGGGACACAGACGGGAGTTGGTCTCCCAGGCGAGTCTGATTGGTTTCTATGTGCATGAGACTGTGACAACCCTCCCAACTATTGGGTTTAGTGGTGTGGATGGTCAGACTGGCATGAGCCTGCTTCATGAGGAGCCCCCGTCTGCAAGGCAGAGAACGGTGGTTCCCTCTGGAGTGGGATCGCCCTGGTTGTCGGAGGTGGTTCGACCGCTCAAACACGGGCAATTGGTATTCGTCCGAAGTTCTGCGGACACCTTATTTCCGATCAACCCGTTTATGGGGCTCTGGGGGATTCTCCTTGAGCCGCCCCGGCGTTCGGCGTTAATCGGAGGGCGGGATTCCCCTGAGAACGGCCGCGCCGGGCGGAAGCCAAGCCGGATTCGCCAGTCGATTCCCTACCTGGTTCTCATTCTCTTGCACGTTCACCAGCCATTTGGTCTATCAATTATGGCTATGTTCTTCTGCGTTTACTGGACAAACACTTGCTGTGATTGAGGCTCTCTCTTGAGTCGAAACAAACTTTACAGATGGCAGAGAACGGGAGTCTCATGGGTCTTGGCACCAAGGGGCCAACATGGAACTGCCATGTTGACGACCAGCGGCAGTCGCTGCACATGGGATAAGAGTGTTTCGAGTGTCTACTCCCCGAACGGGAGCAACCGAGTCGGCAACATGACCTGGCTTCAGAATGGTGCTCGACGTTGGCTGAACCTCTGCCGGTCACTGACCGGAGCAGTGAAAGGCAAATCGCCCATGAAGAACACCATTAGGGAGTCGTGCCGAGAAGTGGACGAAATGCATGATTACTCTCATTGGTGTCGTCTGTGCCGTCAAAGTCAGGCCGTACTTTCTCGTCATGGTAGCGGCGGAAGGTTTCTCTCTGGAGTTTCTCTACCTGCTTTCACGGTTTGGAGAATAGGCTTTGGGCATTGTGTCTGGAGTTCAGACCGCAGTTTTGTCTTTCTTCTTTTTTTAAACTTGCCTTTCTTCCACTTCAGAAGTCTGAAAATTGGCCTTTGGGGGTCCAAAGATGGAGGCGAGGGAGGGGAAGAGGGTTTATATGAACTGGACTAAGATTAGCGAATTGAGGGGAGCCATGTGTCTCTCCTCATACTGCGATTCTGTCAAACTCCAATGTGAGGAGGCGAGGCTGAGACACACGGGCATCACCAAGCAGCCACCCAATATCATGTCACGCCAGCCAGCAGGTTTTACCAATCACGTTCTTACCCATGCGCAGCATATCCAAGGCGCATTCAGAACACAGACCAAAGCCTAAGGCAGTCTTCACTTGTCTTGGCTCACTCTTGGCGCCAATGCTGGAAGAGTTGAGATGATTTATACTACAGCGTCTGCTGACATGAGGACTGTGTTTTGCATGACTGGCCGGCGAGGGAGGGGCAAACCGTTTTGTTTTACCGCTTTTGGGGATCTTGGGGAAGATCCGGGGGGGCGATCTGGCGGACGGGACGGTTCAGCTGGGCCAGGAACTGAAAGGTCGAGCGGACGAGGCGCCGAAGCTCTGGTCGTTGCGGTCACATAGCTGTCTAGCTCAGGTAAGGTGAGGTAAGGTGAGGTACCTTGGGTAGTGTGGGGGAGGCGAGAAAAGCATGAGAAGCATGGGCTTGTTTATGCTATTTGCTGTTTTTGGGTTTCTTGCCGGAGATGGGAAAGGTGAGAAAGCTCCTACATTTTCGCACAGAGATTTTTGTCGATGCTTGTGAGGCTGGAATTCTGCTATGGCCTTCTTTTTGGTTTGCCTCGGGGACGGTTTCCGAGGTTGTTCATATTGGGAATAGAGAGATAGGGCGGGCTGAGTCTAGATTGGTTTCTCTCGCTCCCGCGGACGATGCTGGACACGGATACCAAGTTGGAGGTTTGAATTGGGTTCGTGAAGATTTTGGATGATTACTTCAGTTGCCGGAGATGCGTAAGGCGGTGATGAGGTTTCCCGTAGGGAGCTACTCCCGGTACGAAACTCCATCTCACAGGAGAGGGTAGGCTGTCGAGAGGAGTGACATCAGGTCTAGACACTTGACCAACTGCTTCCTATGACCCTTGATTATAGGGAAGAGACAACACGAAAGCTAATGAATGTGTTCTTGGTCACTTACCTACTCTCAACTGTTCACAATCAGGCAGTTTGCGCCACACTTTTACGTTCACTAGTGATGACTCCTGATACAAGCCAAAGAAGCAGCTTTTCACCTATCTCGAAGAACGAAGCCGAAAGGGGTGTGCGAGACAACACACCTACTAGAGCAGTGACCACCAGCCTTTATCTCTGACAGGAAAGCCGTTCCCAGCTAAGATGAACAAATTCATGCCGGGTGCCGTTAGCGTTAGAAAACCCCATCTCATGATCGTTTTTTGCCTCCATCTTTCCCTCAGAGCACACAGCTCGCAGACGGGCTTCTTCGGTGGTACTGCCGAGAAGTCGAACCCACTTGGGGTCAAGGATAGCGGAACGGTTCAAGCTCAACTCACCCCACCCACCTTTCCCGTTGCTGAGAATAGAGTCGGCGGGAAGGCTGAGACTTTTTGACGTGCATGAACTGCTTGCCGACGATGGTGCTTCAGATATGGAGAAGGCGTGCTGGTTGGGTCAGAGAGCGGGAAAGTCTCTTTTGTTCGCTTTTGTGAGACTAGACAAGTTGCAGCAAGCGGATCGTTTGTTTCTAGGTTTCGGGGCGGGAGTGGTGTTTATGGCGAGTTTGATGCTTCTTTGACGGAGATTTTGTAGGTATCAGGCAGACGCAGAGAGAGAGAGAGAGAGAGAGAGAGAGAGAGAGAGAGAGAGAGAGTAGGGGGAACCGAAGACAGGATCTTGTCGGTACTAGGCTACCCTTGTCTCCTGCAGACTAGCAGGCGCGAACGGGGTGGCGTCCGCGTGGCCGATCGTGCTGAGTTCGGCGGTCCAATCATCGGCGCCTGGAGGGATGCCCCCCGGTGCCGAGTCACCGGGGGGAAGGCCAAGATGCGGGTCCGTCTCGGCGGGCGAGGGGTCCGGCGCTAGTGCAAAATGACCGGTGAGATGCGGGAGTGCGGCGCGGGAAGAAGACGAGGGCCTGTTCGACCTATCACTGGCGTTCGATGTGAAGTTGACGAGGTGGACCTTGGCAAAGTGTGTCTTGTGATGAGGCTTTTTTGACGGATCCGGTATTACGAGGTTTGTCGTTCAGGGGTAAAAGAATGAGGTTGCAGGGGCACGTGGTGAGAGGCTGCGTCGTTTGTGATGGATTGGTTTTCCTGTTCCAAGGGGAATTCGGTAAACCATTGTGGTGTTGGGTGATGTCGATAATCAACTCGAGGTTGTACATAACAGACTTGTATACAATATGTTGCCTACATAGCTGAACCAAAACCTAAAGCCATTTGAATCCGTCAGGAACAAAGCATTCATCTGTTCAACATGCAGAACTTGACCCCAGAACCACCCGCGCCAATGCCTCGCCAACCACCACAACCCCTCGCCCGCGTCCTCGCCGCAGATGAAGTCGTTCCCACGGTCCAGCGCGTCCTCGCAATCCTACGCACCGCCCGCGAAAACGCAGTCGCGTCCATCACGCCGTCCGAGGCAACCTTCGCTAACACCATCGGTCCCTTCCTGCGTGCCGACGACGAGACGCAGGGCGAGACGGGCTCCTTCAGCGTGCTCCGCTTCTCTGGCCCGGACAAGGCTACCGCCGAGACCATAGAGGAAGGTATGAGGCTCTGGTCTGCGTCTACGGCGGAGAGGTTGCGGATGAAGGGAGTCTATGAGCTTGTCAATGCCGTTAAGGAGAGGGACGAGGAAGGGCTTGGGGATGAGGAGGAGAGGATCGTGAGGGACTTATGGTTGGATTATCGCGGGGCTGGGCATGGAGTTTTGGATGAGGAGGGAATTCGGGTGTATTTGGAGCGGAGGGAGAGGATTGAGGAGTTGAAGAGGGCGTTTAGGAAGAATCTGTACAAGGGGGGCGGAGGCCTCTGGTTCACGGAGGTGGAGCTGGAGGGTATACCCAGAGAAGAGATGGAGAAATGGAAGTTTGGGCGGGAAGACGTGCCGGAGGAAAGGGGCAAGAGGTTTGTCACGCTGGAGAGGGCGGATTACGATGCCGTGCTGCGGTATGCGCGTGATTCGGAGACGAGGAGGCGGTTGTATGTTGCGTTTGACAATCGGTTCGCTGGGAACGTGCCGCTGTACAAGGAGATGCTTGTCCTACGAGACGAGAATGCGAGGATGTTGGGGTATGGGAACCACGCGGAGTTCCGGATCGAGAGGAGGGTTGCGCCGTCGACTGGGTGGGTTGAGGAGTTCTTGGGACGGTTGAGAAAGGGATTGGAGCCTCGGGGAAGGAAAGAGATGGCGAGAATTGTGGACAGGAAGAGGAATGAGTTGGGGATTGTTCGTGAAGAGAAGGATAAAGAGGAGGGGGGGATTCTGCCATGGGATTTTGAGTACTATACGAGACTTCTTGAGGAAGAGGCGGACGTTGACCAGGAGAAGATGTCCGAGTATTTCCCCCTGAATCATACGTTATTGGCCATGCTGAGTTTGTTCTCCGAGTTTCTGGGTTTTGAGTTCGAACCCGTACCGAAGAGCGATTTAGTTGGAAAGATCTGGGACAAGGGGGTACAGGTTTGGGCAGTCTGGGAGGGAAGAGGGGAGAGAAAGGGAGAGTTTGTGGGATACCTGTACGCCGACGTTCTGTGGAGAGAAGGGAAATACCGGACGGCGTGCAATGTCAACCTGCAATGCGTACGTTGCCGAGACCTGTTCTCCTTTGGGTTCGTTCCATCAGAAAGAATCACTGACTGGTCAACAGGGTTACTTGAAGGAGGATGGCACCAGAGTCTACCCTGCCACGGTGCTCATGTGTGCCTTTCAGCCCCCCACAGCCGCGTCTTGTGCGCTGTTAAAGCATCGCGAGGTCGTGACATTGTTCCACGGTACGCCTAAACCAGTCCAATTCCCTTCTTCGTCCCTTTTATCTCACATTGTCAACCTCAAATATGATTCGTGATACACTACTTTTCTGCACCCGTCCGATGGGAATGGTTTTCGCTCACACCGCCCACACAGAGCTGGGCCACGGGCTTCACGATCTTGTATCCCGCACAAAGCATACCCGCTTCCACGGAACGCGTGTGGCGCCCGACTTTGGCGAGGCGCCGAGCACGATGTTGGAAAAGTGGTGCTGGATGCCGGAAGAGCTCGTCAAGATGGGCCGGCACTACACGCGCGTCGATCCGGCGTACATGGCGAAGTGGAAGGAAGACCATGGGGATGGTGAAGAGCCCCCGCAGGAAAAGATGCCAAAGGAGTTGGCCGAAAACTTGGTACAGAGTCGAGAGCTGAACCGGGGTCTATGGTTCCTAAGGCAGCTGTAAGTTTTCTGTCTTTTTCTACCTTTCTTTTGTTACCTCGTGTGATTGTTTTGGTGATTTGATGGATTACTGACACGGAACAGAGTATTTGCCACGTTTGATATGATGGTGAACAATCAAGAGTC